AATTTAAAAAAAAGTACCAGCAGTGTCCTCATCCATTCCCTCCTTTTCTTCATCTCTTTTAAAAATGCTATCTAGTAGAGCAGCCAAGATATTTTTCAGTCTGTTGCTCATTGTTTTTTTCATTACTTTTTTTTGTTCTCACAGTGCTTGCCCAATGCAGCAGCTGTTAAGTGGAGAATGCTGAAATGGGGAAAGTTATTCATGTAGCATTTGATTAACAATATTTTTGCAGAACATTGATACATCGACTATTTTTAACCTCAGGCAAAGGAAGGATCAAGCCCAATCCATATTCAATTACATATGGGAACCTTTTGTAATTTCAGATACCTTTATAGCCTCTGATACTTCACAGTTTAATTCCTTTATAATGTTTTCTGCCACAGTTTTCCACCCTATGTGATATCATGAGATTTTTTTTTTTTTTAAACTCTGATTGCACCATTAAGAAATACATTCAGTGAGCTTTCATGTTGACCCTGGGAGCCTAAAGCTCGATGCTTCAGTAAGTGTGTATTGGCATAACACTGTTGACAGCAATGGAAGAACTAAAGGTCTGGCTTTTATGCATAACACTTTATAATTCCCTATTGAGTTAAAATAATTTCTGTACAATGCATAACATTTTTTTCATTACATATGCTAGTTACATCTTAGGGTGAATCAGTCAAACAGACTCTAAATTAAAATGTTGGCTGATCTATGCCCAAGGTCTGTTGCAATGCAGTTTTCTCACAGCTTGGAAGATAACAGCTGATATAGACACTATAGAAATAAGTGGGGTTATTCTTTCTCTTTTTTTCTGTCTGTCTTTTTCCAGAGAACCGAATACATGGATGTACCTTTAAAGTTTTAATTTTATAGGTAATGTGGAGAAGTAGATTGTATAAGGTGGAAAAGAAAATTAATAAACCATGTGGTCCTGGATGGGTCAGGCTGTTGGTATAAGGACAGGGAATCCTTATATTAGGACCATCATTTTAGTCTCTAATTTAACCCATAAGAATTGAAAGCGCCTTTGATTCATACACTTGTAAAAATATTTCAATGAGGATGTAAACTGTTTGTCTTACTGCCTTTTCTTGCCACCTTCAAAATAATCCATAGTATTCTTGGAGGTTGACAAGACAAGGCTTCAAAATCTCTGAATTAGAAAAAACGCTGTATTTTGTAAACAGAGACAAGTGAACTCTGAATGCAACTTAATAAGGTAAATTAGCATCTGCTTTGGATGAGGGATGTCCAACACCCAACACACTGGGCTTGGAGCTACAGTGTTTAGGTCAACGTCAGGTCTGACCCAGAGATTTGTCCTCCTTTACTCTGGAGAAAAACGCAAACTGAATTAGAAGGTGCACACCCTCCTCCCTCGGTAGCCACCACTCTGTAGCTAAATACAATCAGCCACTGTGATCAGCCTCTGGAACCGGACCGTCCCCACGGCAGTTGGGCAGAGCGGCAAAAACTCTGCATACGGGGTTTTTGGGAGTTTTTTCCCCGAAGCTGGGATCCACGTGGGGAGCGGGCCAGCATCTCTCGCGAGAGAGGTGGGTGAAGCGTGGGCGGAGTTGCAGCCTCCGCGGGCTATTTAAAGGCCCTAAGGAGGCCATCTAGGTCGAACAGAGGGGAAGTGGTGAGTGTTCTGGGAGTGCTGCGGAGTCTGAGCGGGTAGTCACATGGCCAGGAACAGCTATGGTTGCAACCTGGCCAAAAACTGTTGGCCAAAGATGTGGCAACCCAGGCAGAGGCCCCATGTAAACGTGTCAGTGTCCAGGCTTCCGGCTGCAGGGAGTGCCGGAGCCTTTAACTGGGAATGGGGGACTGCAGGAACGACACGTGTGTTTGCTGCGAGCAGGTAAATGATCTGCTCAGCCTGGTGGCTGAGCTGAAAAAGGAGGTGGAAAGGCTGAGAATTGTAAGGGAGTGTGAGAGGGAGATGGACTCAGGCCCTCTCGCTCCTGAGGCAAAGGCAGCAGGATCCCCTCGCCTCTTGCCACAGGTAAGAGGATGCAACCTAAGAGAACGGGGCGAATGGAAACAGGTCCCTCCTCAGGGAAGCAGGCAAATCTCCTCCTGGCCTCCCTTGCCTCCCCAGTTACCGCTGCTCAACAGGTATGGGGCTTTGTAAATTGGGGGCCAGGCACATGAGGATGGAAAGGAAGGTCCATCTGGGAAGACATCGAGGGTGAGTCAGTCACCCCCACACCTTAGGGCTAGTTCAGTCAAGAAAAAAGGAGGGTACTCATGGTAGGTGCTTCGCTTCGGAGGGGAACTGAGGGCCCCATATGTTGGCTGGATCCCTCCCACAGGGAAGTCTGCTGCCTCCCTGTGGCCCTGGTTAGGGAAACTCCCTGGTCTGAATGGCACTGAAAAGCCTCATGAGGCCTACATTGTGTGTGTTAAAACATGGGAAATATTCCTTAAGAGAAGTAAATAGGCAAATTAGTATGGACCCTTCTTGTATAGGCATAGTTTGTCTATTCTTTTCTCATGTGGGCATGCATAAAATTTCAGACAGCTTAGCAACTGCAGAGCCTCTCTTGGTGTAGTTTGTCTAATGAGTGACATCTGGACTTAGAGTTAAAGATGGAGAAAAACAATAATTTGTCTCTTGCCAGAGATATTTAATTGAGGGTAAAACATACATCTGGGATTTATTTGTGTTAAAAGATACACAAATGAAGTACTACGTCTTCTTCCAACCTGACCCTGCGGTGCCCTTTCCATTTAGTGTATTAAGAATCAGGATTTGTTTAGAGATATCTTACAAATCAGAAATGATAGTTATTGTATGATCTTAGCTGTTATTACAGCACATCTTTCGCTTGCTGTTGGTTTGGGTGTTTGTTTTTTTTTTTAGCCACTGTTTGTCTGTCATACAAGTGAAGTAATTTGTAATACAAACTGACTATGGTTTCTTTCAGTTGCTTACTTCAGGAAAGCTATAGACGTGATGGGCATAACATTATACGGCATAATGGGCAAACATTATGCTACATGCCCTTGCTGCTGGTAAAACAGAATGAACTCTGCCAACAAAACTTTAAATTAACTGAAGTTGCAGATGGCAGTTTTCCAGCTGTGGGTTACGGATCATTAGTCTTCTGCAGTTTCTGAACCAGTGCTCTTCAAGAATAGTCTGAGCAGCAAGAGGTGAGATTAAGAGAGGGAAGCAGTTTCTGCAAGACACTATATTTCATAGGTGGTTTGTGATTTGGAAGGTGTCCAGGACTGTGGACGCCTTTAATAATGGCTGTGTTATGAAAGGTGAGGCTCGTGGCAGGGCACTTTCTGAAAGGTATGAGAAGTTCAAAATCGATGGATCTAGCAGAGCATACCAGTTTGATCCTAAAGCCTTGCTCGCGGCCTTCACAGGGCAGCCAGCACTGGGGAAGGACTTTCACAGATGAGGAAGGACTCTGTATTAATGCCACATACTTGATTTTACTACATCTCTCAGCACATCTGGAAAGAAAGTGGCATCAGCAGATTGAGTGTTATATCAATGAAATATTTCCTGGTGATGAGAGATATGTATCTTGTCCCATCATCCCTTCCCAGGGTGGCACACTTGTGAGACTTGGGTTTTACCATTTGCTTTGCTCCTCTCATGGAAAAAGGCCACAGGATGTCACTAGTCAAAGGGGAAAACAGACCCTTGGCAGATAAGTGACACCTTCCTCTTCAAAAAGGTCTGCTTGTGTGAGTACCTGACCTGCAATCTCAGCTGTTTCTGTGATGAAAGCTTAGGGAAATTAGGGTGAGTCAAGGAACTAGAAATTTTTTCCAGGAATGATGCTCAACCAGATAAGAAAATTCCATTTATGTTATCTAGAGACATGAGTTAAGAAGTAAATGGCCTTATCTACAGCATAGCTACTTGAAGTGTGGAAATCCCATGTGGATGTGTGTATGCCCTGGGTTAGGCAGAAATGCTTTATTATCACTACTAAGGAGGGAACTGTGCTACCTTGTGCCTGACACTGGTTGTTGGACTTGTGGGAGAGGAGAAGGAAAATTTCATCAGGCACTTCTTGTACTTGGTTGAGTTTCAGCACGATGAGGTGGAGGGGCCTTTTTTCCTTCTTTCTGTAAAACAAGGAAAGCAATACTTGGTTATCTTTTGGCTTGACAGCAGAATTGTGTTGCAATAATCTGAGGGCTGTTAATTCACCAGTGATTTGTTTATACTGAAGACTCTTGTAATTAAAAAATTGCCTTAAGGTAGGGTATAATACAATGTGGACTTTGGGGATTTATTAGAAAGAGTTGAACAAACCCTGGAAGTCCTCTAGTTTGTGTATTTTGTGTGTAACAAATTATTACTTCACTCCAGTATAATTTGAATTATTTTGTCATGAAACTGGTGCAACAGAGTGGAGAGTGGGGTCTCAAAGCTTCCTGAATGAGGGAGATCGAGTTAGTGGCCAAGTCTGTTTACAGAAGATAGAAATTATGCCATCATGATGAAAAGGTGTGTTAAAATGAAGTCTGGAATTACGGCATTGTTCTTTCAGTTTGATTGTATGTTTTAAAATAATCACTATTGTGGAAGGAAAATGTCTGTGAGTTGGTCATTGTAATGTACGTACTTTATGATTAATAACACTAAAATGTGAGATTCCCCAATGAGAACAAAACCCAACAAAGCCAAATATGTGCCAAAGAATAACACCCCAGTCCTTCAAAAATCAACACCTATATTTGTGCTTATATACAATAAATAATCCTGGTTTGCTATTTACTTAAATAAGACACAGATTTCTCACTCAAAGTGACATGAGTTTAATCCTAATGTGTAAAATTAAGACTGAATACCAGCCTTTGCATGTTTGGAGTTTGTGTTAAAGCCACAAAGACTGACAAAATCTGCTTTCAGTTCTGTGTTAATCTAGGGTAAGTCTACTGAAGTTGTTATAGCAATGAGAATTTAAAGTAGTTGAATAGGGGAATTTAGTCCTTTTAAAACATTCCTTCAGGGTTTGTTTTCTCTCTTGCAGACTCCCAGACAATACAGCCAAGCCCTAAATAAGAGTAACAGAGTTCATCTTTACTGTGCATTTCTGGACTACAGGTATGTTACGTACATTCAAATTCTTTAACTTGATTTAATTAAATTACAGTGATGTGTATTATTATTGTGATGCTGTATTACCTATATGGTTCTTTTCCGTTCTTGGAAATAGCTAACAAAATGGAACACTGGTTTACAGAAAATACAATCTCAGGGTAGCTTCTTACCATAAATAGGAGACTTGTTATTCACAGACCCTGTGTTAGGTGGGTAACTGAGAGACTGACAATTTTTGGAATCAAAAATGCAGACTGATACAAATCGTGCTTATCTTGGGTTATGACTCTGTGTTAGGAATCATGCTTATCTTGGTTTTGTGGATATGTCCACTTGAGCAGATGCTTGGATGTTTTAAGATGGCAAACCTCCAGCAGTGACACTGTTTTCACTGGATCTGTGCCTGTGTCACAATTCCATGTGAGATCAGTATTTCGGAGCTGTGAATTTTGGCCAATGCACGGAATAGAGAAATATTATGCCCCTGAGTGAAAATTAGAATGAAAGGGGCTAAAATATCACCTTAAATTTCACTCAGAAAAATAGGAACTTTGGAAAATCAGTAGCTATTTTTTTTTTTTTTTTTTAGCTCTGAATATATTTCATCTGGTTTTGATTTCCAGACATGCTGCTCTTACTGAATCAATTGAGAAAGAATACAAATAGTGAATTTTGAATTGCATGGGGATTAACAGTTTTTGAGCCGTAGCAGTATAAGCCTAATTGATGTAGCAATGGCCCGCAAGGCTGTGATCCCTCCTATTCGGCATGCACATGGGAAGGTCACTGTAATTGTTTTATTGAAGTTTTTGTTTCAAGTATGTTGAACTGTCCCAGCTGTTGGCAGTTACTCGTTGTTATGGTTACTCACAAATTACGATAAATTAGAAACAGATTTTACTGAAGCGAATTAATATTGTTGGGACATTGTTCCTGTACTGTTTTCCACTGGGGCTTGGGCCCTTGAGGCTTAGCCTCAGGATAGAAACTGAAATATAAAATCTGTCCTTCCAAATGTGTTTTATTTGCATCAAGATGGTCTTATTCCCTAGTGCATGGTAGTTAAAGAGTAAGCAATTGGTTTCTGACCTACGACAGACTCTTTGAGAACTCAAGGATGTCCCAAAGGACAGAGGAAGGGTGAGGCAATACTTATCTTTAAAATAAGCACCAATAAAAATACAGATCACTCAGTTGAGCTTCAGGACCCAGAATATTATCAAAAGCAATAAATGGTTAAGAAGCAGGCAGTTTGGGTGGATGACTTCTGGTGCCTGAGTGCATGAACCCCCCTAGATGTGTGACTGGGGCTGGTGTGTCCCCACTCCGCTGCAGGGCTGTGATAGAACGGGGGTTTCTAGGTTTCCCAGGTTCTAGGAAGAAGCGAAATCATGAGGATCACCTTCCCGCACAGCCCTAGGGGCAGACCGCACAGCCAGCCCAGCCACATCCTCAGTGGAGCAGGAGCTGCTCTTGCTATCCCTGGGGATGAAGTGACAGAAACCAGATGATATGGATGGGTCACTAGAAATGGTGCTCAGTCAGTCTGAATTACTTTGACAGGATGAGTGGGACAGTGGATAAGGAAGAGGTAACAGATATGATACGCTGACTTCTTTGATTTTTGCAAGATTGTTGACCTGTCTGATATTTCTCAGAATATAGAAATTGGGGTCCAGGTGAAATGCCATAAATGGGTTGCACAATGTAAGGAAAAAATGTAGTTACCATATAGTTAACTATTTTCATGAGGGAATTGAGAAACACTCGCAATGTTTGTGGATGCACCAGCCTGAGAATGGCTTTCAAACATTTTTATCTCCTGTATAGTATAATGCATGTAAAACTAACCTGCTAAGATGATTTTTGATAATGTTTCATTTTTGTGTGCTTGGCAGCGATGGAACTGGTGTTTGGTCTAATGAAGGTTGTGTGCGTGAGAGTGGAGACCTCAACTACTCAGTGTGCCTCTGCAACCACCTCACTAACTTCGCCATTCTGATGCAAGTGGTGCCTCTGAAGGTGAGATTAAGCAAAGAAGTACATCTGTCTGTTAAAAATGAAGCATAAATACATCAGTTGCATCCCCACACCGCATCAGTAAGTGATTGGAACTGGTCTCATTTTTTCTCAACTCAGCTTTATTCCACATCTTGCTTTCTGGGATGTTTTAATACTTCTTGGCTATATATTTTTTTAAACTTACGGAACTGAAATGGTGCATGAAATGTAACACATATGTGGTAGGTGGGAATTCTCTTTACTTTATTCTCATTTTTTTGACATGGTTTCTTAAAGTACGAGACAGGAAAAGCACTAGAGGACATTGTACAGATGACACTGGCTTTTATGACTTGTCTTTAAGATAGAGAGAGCTGAGATGTGGCTGTTTAAGGGTTTTGGTAAGTAGACTGTGGAATATGAACAGCAGAGCTTGAATGCCATGTGAAGCAAGCTCTGCTGCCAGCTGGCCCCTACCATTGTCTCTGCCAGCTTGGCAAGTGCTTCCCTGCTGCTGCTTCTTCCCCAAGCAGGGTTTGTGTTGAAGGTGCATGAGAAAGAAAACGATGCTTTAGACTTGAGAGCAAACCCCTTATGTATAGTTTTGTGTGCAGTTCCTTTGTCCAATGGGTTATTGAGCAAGCCTCTTTTCAGCTGGAATATGACACTTTCCCTGTTTACCCATGCTCATCACTGGTTTCAGATGAAGCTTTGTTGGAAAAGGCATTGCTCTCCTCACTATACATGTTCTTCTCTTCATGATACCTTATGATGCCTTGAGATTTCATCAGAGATGGAGCAGAATGTCTGCTTCTTGCAGGTGAAGTGCTGGTTTATGCCTGCTGAGGGACTCCCTCTACAAAACTCAGCACCAGGCAAGGTCAACCCCATCCTGGATCTTAGCGGACAGACAGCGCTGCCATGAGCGTGAGAAATGTGTTCACTGCTTTATTTGGGTACGCCACAGTCAGGGGGGATCTGATGGAGGTAGTGATGAAACCCTGCTCAGACAACCCTCAGTTAATAAGTTATGAATGTATAATAGAAATAATTTGCAAACCATGCATTTCAAGACGTATACTAATTGTCTGTCAAATTTATACTCTGGCACGTTCTCCTCTTTCTACAGACACCATCCTAGTAATATAAATTTACAGACTGAAGAAGAGCTTCAGTAGGACAGTAGGAGTCCTACTGTCACATTTATCACCATGTGCTGTTAACAAGCAGGGTGTCCTCTGTGGTAAAGCTAGAAGGGTTTTGTCAGCTCTGTTGGCATGGATGCATTGACTATATGTCCATGCCTCATGCTTCTGCTAATTGGTTTGAATGATGGGTTTGCTCTTCTTTCAGACAATAGCTTTGCCTAGACAGCTACTGCTGCAGGATGGGCTGTGTGTGCTTGTGAGGGCAGCACAGAGGTTCCTGCAGACAGATGCCAAAGTGAGCTTGCAGCGTAAGGGAACCCTACTCAGTGTTATACCACTGGGCAGCTCCGAAGTCTTTTCCAGGAATGAATCATCCCAGACTGCTATTAGGAGTTACCGATTCAGTAACACTGCTAGCACAACTGCCACATGGTATCCTGGTTAGACGATGGAATGCCAAGTCAGGGTCACAGTTTAGAACAAAATGGTCTGCTATACAAGAAGCTTAATACCTGCAGCCCTTTGCCTAAGTCTAAGCATTGGAAGATGCAGTTATCTTGTCCAAGTCACACAGTTTTTATCTAACCATTATTATCTTAATTACTTGTAAAGCACCTAATGACCCCGGCTGGTTTCCAAGTATTATTTTTCTAGGAACTCTTTGTACTCACAACAAAATGCAGCTTTGCCTGAAGACCTTCCTATCTTGTGAAACAAAAGTAGAATGGGATAAAGCTGTTATTAACTCTGTTGTAAAGAGCAGTAGACAAGGATTTGGACAGGATTGAATAGGGTGTCCGCCAATTAATTGCTGGTGAAAGATTAGTTGATTTTCCACTAAGGAATAGTTCTGAGAGGTCTAACTTTCAAATAAACAGATTTGAGATTGTTATAATTAATGAGATGCTGCAATAATTTCTAATGTTATGCAACATTAATAATTAGAGATCAAAGGTATTTTCTATCAATGTCTTTGGAATCAAGCTTTCCTAAAGAGAACTGAAATTCATAACTAGGAAAGGCTGGACATGAATGGACTGTCCAGTTCCTTACAGTCATTTAATGGTTCTGTTTTCAATGTTTTCTTCCTTAACTTTTTGGTCTCATACATTTACATCTGTCAAAGTTTGAAAGGAATGTTTTTCTATTGTGTGTTTTGGGGTGTGTTGTTTGTTTGTTTGTTTAGGGGTTTTTTTGTTTCCTTTATGATCTTTATGACCCATCTCATGGGTCCCCATCACATTTGATTCTGTTACATGTTACACAGACCTAGTCACTCTCATACACAAAAACATTCCCTATGTGACATAGTATTGTAAATGTCAGCATAAAATAGTTGGGGTGTTTTAATTAAACTTAATTCCCATAATTTTCTGTGGTATTTTGACCTCTGCCACCTAAAATCCCATTTCCTGACACATATTTATAATATTTCCTTCTTTGGTGTGTTCAGAAAACTGAAGTGCTGAAACACAGTCCTTACGTTCCTAGTGCAAATCCATGCGAATTCGAAATGCTTGCTTCAGCTTTCAATGGAATTTGTGGAGGCTAGGTAGAAAATATGCATTCATTTCTAATCTCTTAAAATTCACCTAAAACCAATTTTTGTATGCACCTCAGTTGGCAGAATTTAGACATGCATAGTAGCATGGAGAAATTTGGGTTCACTGGTTTGCAGAGCAATGCACCTGAACGATTCCTCGACACGGCTGCTCTGCCCTGCCCTCCCATCAACTGCACAAGCTTGATGATACAAGGAGGTGGCCATTAAGTGAGCCTGCATGGGATCTCACGTAATATTACCATAACAAGCCAGTGAAGGATGTCATCCCTTCAGTGTGCTTTAATCCCAGTTCCTATCGTTTCTCATAGTCCCTCTCAGAATACATCAGAAGATCTCATCCCAAGTCTTTGACCGAGATATAGCCTTTAAATTGGCTGTTTAGGACTATCTTATGGTAGTAGTTTTTTTAACAAGTGAAAAATATTGGTGTCTTCATTGTGTAATTGGCATGAAATTAAGATTTGAGCAAAGACAAGCTGCCTGGGTTTTGTGCTATACAAGCTCAATTACAAATTCCTAAAACCTAATTCCTAAGTATTTGCTTCACATGTCTAAGCAGTAGAGGCTATTGAATCAACTAGGCAGTTGGAAACTTCTAGCAGGCGTCCTTGGAACCCTGTTAAGTAGATGTTAAAACGCTGTGGGTTTCAAACACATATACATGTTTATTCAACATGTTCTGAATTCGTGAGGCAAGGTTCAAAGGGCTCGTATAAATCACCCATTAGAATAATAGATTGTCAGTGCTCTAAGAAACTATAATGATGTTACACTCGATCTTGAACTTTTATATATTTTATTTTCATAAATGGAGTTCACAGGTAATATGAGACAACAAAAAGAGAGGATGGGAGTATGCAATTGCCCACATTTGAACAGTTCTGTTATATGTCTGATACCTGTGGCCCTATAAACAGAACTGGATGACATTGTTCCACATGAACACTATTTTTGACAGAAGGTTTATTTTTTTGTCTAGCTTCTCTTACAAAAAGGGGGCTGCTTTTCATGAAAAATATAAATAAATTATTGGAAATGGATTGCCTGAAAACTGGAGAAGTTTTCATCAAAGGCTGTATTTTGGTACAAAAACAGTGACTTCGTTCTTCATAGGAATTCTACTTTGGGTGTTTTATACTTCCATTCTCCTGTGGAGAGGATCATTTCCCTTTCCTCTCCATCATATGGATAAGTGGGTAGCATAAACAGGCAGACAAGCTCTCCAAGGGCACTGTAAGAGCCTTTAACCTAATGTATCAGTCAGCAGAACAGTAAAGCCAGGTATGAGTAGTTCCATTGGCCCTTGCAGAAAGGCAGACAGAAACACAGAAAACAATAAAATGAAGAGGCGGATATCACCAATTCTAACGAGGTGTAATACAGGCCAGTATGTGTGCAGCAGCTTCAGACCTGGGAGAACATCCCTAGGGAGAACACTGTTGATGTGGAAATCTATGAACTCTTGAGACCAGTTCAGTGTGATAAGTGTTCCGCCTCTCTCAGCTCCTCTTCACAAGATTGATTTTCTTTTTGCTTAAAAAACCCAAACCAAAATATAAGCTTTCCATTAAGGAGACACTGCAGCTTTTAGAGGAGTTCGCTGTTCACAACTGGAGAGTGTGGCATACTCTGAGTTCAGAAAAAGCCAAGGTGTCTCTAAGCAACATCTGAAAATAAGTGACCTTCCTCAGAAGTAACTCACCATGTAAATAATTGTGGTGAGCATTTCTAAATTTCTCTAATGACAAGAGAGCTGAGCTTCTATGATAACTCTTTGTCAAGGATGGTGACTTTTTCTTCTCAGTTGTGTTAAAATTGAGCAAGAATTGGCTCAGTTAACTCCCTCCCTTTGTTCCTTCACAAGGTTAAGTCTAGCTTTTTCCACTTACAGAACAATAGCATGATCCAGGCCTTGTCAGCTTTGACACACTGTGAACCTGCCCCAGTGCCTCCCTACCTGCTAGTACTGGTCCAGCTCATTTTTGCATCTTCACCAGTATCCAGCAGACCTCTATATGTATTTACACAGTTTGTGCTTTTCTTGTGGGCATAAATATCCTTATGTATTCTCAAGATGCCTTATAATTGCAATTTTATTACAAGGTATGGAATTATGTTAATAACTGCACCTGGCTTGGGGACAATTTACAATTAATCATGTGGATTTCTTTTTGTTTCAGTGAGACATTCATTGGAACAAAAATATAGGGTATCTTGCATCTGATGGTACTTTATCTTGAACACTTGAAGTATTGTGAGATGAGGAATGCTGAGAAATAGTTAGACATTTATGGGGCAGACTGTCAGGT